CCCCCCTCCCACCCAATCATTGATATATATTTCCTGTTCGTCATGGGAGTTCTGTGTGCCATAATTGGCTCAATTCCATCATTGAGTAATAGTAGCAAATTTACAGTTATGAAGCAACAACAAAAATAATATTATGGTTGGGGGTCACCACAACATGAGGATCTGTATTAAGGGGTCACGGCATTAGGAAGTTTGAGAAACACTGAGATAGGTAAATATTCAATGCCTGTAATACAGTGAGATAAAAATAACACATAAATACACAGAACAAAGGTAAAGGCTTCCCGTTTTGTCTCCGGCTTTCTGGCCATGGGGAGATGCTCTTGTTCCATTTCCAAGCCAAGGAGCCTGTTGTCCATAGATACTTCCGGGTCATGTTTTGCTGGCATGTCTACCATTCTATACTTTCCTGCGGTGCATATTGATCTACTCACATTTGCATGTTTTTGAACTGAATAAAACAACCAAGTTCAGACTAAAACTCGGAGCGAATTCTCCGAGACAGGAACTGCTTCCTGCTGCTCCCCCAAAGTGACCCTGTCACCTCTGACCCGCTCTCTCTCTTTCCAAGGCATTGTTTCCATGCTTTCCCTTTCCATCCTCTCCTACGGACGTTACATGATGGTCCTGAGGAAGCCCTCCAAGAGCATGACCGCTAGCTACTCCAGGTCCTTCCTCTGCATCGGGGGCACCTGGCTCTACTCCTTGTTCTGGACTCTGCCCCCGCTTTTCGGCTGGAGCAACTTGACCCATCAAGAATCCAGGGAAAGCTGCTCCACTACTTGGTTCCCCAAGACGGCCATCAACTTTTCCTACGTCATTTGCCTCTTCGTCTTCTGCCTCATCTTACCGCTGGTGGCCATGACCTATTGCTATGGCCGGATCCTGCAAATCATCCGAAAGGTAAGTGGAATGGTGGCATGTGAAAATCAGTTGGTAAGCATGTTAACTGAAAAATATATATCTGTGGAATGACCAGGGTGGGACAAAGGACTCTTGTCTGCTGGAGCTAGGTGTGAATGTTTCAACCGACCACCTTGATTAGCATTTAACACGAAAGCGGCAGCGACAAAACCCAAGGCACGAAACCAACACTTTGCCTTCTGCAAATATTCTCCATTTCAGAGCCTACTTTTATCTTACACCTCATCATCCGAAGATGAGCTGACCTCCGCCCCGTCATAATCTCTTACAGCTGTCCTTGACTCCATACGTGAACTCCGACGCCCATCCCTCCAACTTCTCCATCTTCTGTCAAGACTTAGATTCCCTCCAAGACCCAGAAGTGTCTCCCGACTGCCAATCCCCACCACCAGAAAACCCCACAAATGTGTCACTAGACATTGGCTCTGCACATACATCTTGTACCTCTTGTACCTTAGTCCAATCCAGTGTGTCATCCCCATCCTCATCACTCCCAGACCCATCACTCCTAGAGAAACCCATGAATGATTCCTCATCTGTAGGAGCAGTAAGTATATCCTGGATCTTCTTCCTTTGTTGCTCCTCATCCGATTACTGCTCCCGAGTAACCCTCTTAGTTTCCCTATTCACACCCACTGTATCTCCTTCTTCGCCCTCACTCATTGACCCTTTGCTATCAGAAAACCCTTCAAATGAGTCTTCATTGGTAGGTGCCATAAGTATATCCCGGATCCTTTTCCTTTGTTGTTCCTCATCCAACTCTTGTTCACGAGCACTCCTTTTACCCCTTCTGACACCCATACTACCACTTGCAACGTTACTTACAGGCTCTACTACAACAGTAGTACTACTACAACAGTAGTACTACTACAACAGTAGTAGTACAGTAAATTAATAAATAAATAAGTTGTCGTGTTTTCCAAAGTGAATCCTGCAATTGTCCGAGGCAGTGTCGTGTCCTGAAATCAAATCAATCTCAAATCTCTCCTTGTAGCAGGTCTCTCGGTTTCCGGTGACGGCTGTCCAAAGACGGGAGCAACGTATTTTGTGTATGGTGGTCACCATGGTCACCTGCTACTTCTTCTGCTGGGTGCCTTACGGAATTGTGGCGTTAATCGCAGCCTTCGGAAAGCCTGGGACCATCACCCCAGTGGTCAGCACCGTCCCATCCATTCTGGCCAAGGCCAGCACCGTTGTGAATCCCATCCTCTATGTCCTTCTGAACAAGCAGGTGAGCATCTTCACTTGTTGCCGTCACGGGCCCTTAAGTCGATTCCAACTTGTGGTGACCTTCCTCCAGACCAGTGTTTCTCAACCTGGGGGTCGGGACCCCTGGGGGGGTCATGAGGGGGTTTCAGAGGGGTCACCAAAGACTGTCAGAAAACTCAGTATTTCCTGTTGGTCATGGAGTTCTGTGTCCACAGTGCTCTCTGGATGTAGATGAACTACAACTCCAAAACTCAAGGTCAACGCCCACCAAACGCTTCCAATATTTTCTCTTGGTCATGCGAGTTCTGTGTGCCTATTTGGTTCAATTCCATTGTTGGTGGAGATCAGAATGCTCTTTGATTGTAGGTGAACTATAAATCCCAGGTGCTACAACTCCCAAATGTCAAAGTCGATTTTCCCCAAACTCCACCAGTGTTCACAATATTGAGTATTTGTGCCAAGTTTGGTCCAGATCCATCATTTTTGAGTCCACAGTGCTCTCTGGATGTAGGTGAACTACAACTCCCAAACTCAAGGTCAGTGCCCATCAAACTCTTCCAGTATTTTCTGTTGGTCATGGGAGTTCTGTGTGCTACGTTTGATTCCATTGTATTATTGGTGGAGTTCAGAATGCTCTTTGATTGTAGGTGAACTACAAATCCCAGCAACTACAATTTCCAAATTACAAAATCAATTCCCCACAACCCCATCAGTATTCAAATTTGGGTGTATTGGGTATTTGTGCCAAATTTGGTCCAGTGAATAAAATGGCAGTTATGAAGTAGCAACGAAAATAACGTTATGGTTGGGGGTCAGCACAACATGAGGAACTGGATTAAGGGGTTGTGGCATTAGGAAGGTTGAGAAACACTGATATATGGGTTTATTTATTTCCATAATTCTATGAAAAATAAGTCTCTCCAGAACTTTGTATAGACGGCACACAAGGAGACTGGTCTATAGCTTTTTGGATCATTACGGTCTTTGCCTGCTTTCCAGATAGCTAGGATTCTATAAAGAGGTGAGGAGAAGTCATAGGGAGGAGGGAGCAAGCTTATTTTCTGCTGCCCCGGAGACTAGGACATGGAACAATGGCTTCAAACTACAGGAAAGGAGATTCCTGATCGTGAGAGCTGTTCAGCAGTGGAACTCTCTGCCCCGAAGTGTGGTGGAGGCTTCTTCTTTGGAGGCTTTTAAACAGAGACTGGATGGCAATCTGTCGGGGCATTTTGAATGTGATTTTCCTGCTTCTTGGCAGAATGGGTTTGGACTGGATGGCCCACGAGGTCTCTTCCAACTCTATGATTCTATGATTCTATAAGTCCTACCTTTCTTTCTTTTCTTCTTTCCCTCCTTCCCTCCTTCTTTCCCTCCTTCTTTCTCTCGTTCTCTACCTCATTCTCTCCTTCCTTCTCTACCTTTCTTTCTTTCTTTCTTTCTTTCTTTCTTTCTTTCTTTCTTTCTTTCTCTCCTTTCCTCTTTCTTTCCCTCTTTCTCTCCATCCTTCTCTCCCTCCTTCTCTCCCTCCTTCCTTCTCTACCCTTCTTTCTTTTCTTCTTTATCTCCTTCCCTCCTTCTTTCCCTCCTTCTCTCTCCTAGGCCGTCACTCCATATCACCGCACCAGTGGTGATCCTATATTTTCCAATTTGGCAGGGGAAAAATCCTGATTGGACTCCTGTCATCCCACTTTTTGGACTGCTTTGAAAACATCCCATTTTTAGAGGTAGGAAATATGAAATTTTAGAACCAAAATGTCATCAGGGACAATGCCATTGGTGGCCACAAGGAGACAGTCAGACGCAGCTTATGGGATCTGTACACCTTGTTCTATGTCTATGATTTGGTAGTTTATTTATTTAGTGTACTAGCTGTACCCGCCACTCGTTGCTGTGGCCCAAAAAAACTTCCATCCTCTTCCTCTCTTTCTTTCTCTCTTCATTCCTCCCTCTTTTTCTTGTTTTCTTTCTTTCTTCTAACTTGTTGCTTTTTTGGCCTTCCTTTGCTCTTGGTTCCAGACTTCCTTGTCTTTTCGTTCCTCCTCACTCTTCTCTCTTGAGTTCCTTACTCCTCTTTCCTGCTTTCAATCTTTAGTTTATGAAGTATCGTCTCATGCTCTCTTCCTTCCTCTATACCTTCTTTCTTCTTGCGTGTCTTTATTTTTCTTTCTTTTCTCTTTCAATCTTTCTATTAAAACAAAAAATTCCCTCAAATCCTCTTCATCGAATTTCTTCTTTCCTTCTCTCTCACATCCTCTTTCATCCATTTCTCTCTCTCCTTCTCTACTGTCCTTCCTATCTAAACCTTACTTTACTTTGCTCGTTATAAGTTACTACTTATTAACCATTCTTTATTCTCCCTTCATCCCTTCCTTTTCTTCCTTCTCCTCTTCCTCCTTCCTTCTTCTCCCCTCTTCTTTTCCTCTTTACTTCTCCCCTGCCTTTCTCTTATATCATTACTCATTATTTCCTCTCTTACCTTACTTCCTTCTCTACCTTCTTTCTTTCCTTCCCTCTCTACCTTTCCTCTCTTTCTTCCTCCTTTTCCCTCTTTCTCCCCCCTCCTTCCTTCTCTACCCTTCATTTTTCCTTCTTTATCTCCTTCTTTCTCCCCTTCTTTCCCTCCTTGCTTCCTTCTTTCCTTCTCTACCCTTTTTCCTTTCCTTCCTTCTCTCCCTCTTTCTCTCCTTTCCCTTCTTCTCTCCTTCCTTCCTTCTCTACCTTTCTTTCTTTCCTTCTTCTCTCCTCTTCCCTTCCTCTTTCTCTAACTTTATTATTCCTGCTATGCAATTTCGCGGTGACACTTTTTCTCAACGCCCTCTAATCTTTCCTCCTCTCTACTTTTCTCTTTCTTTCCTTCATTCCCTTCGTCTTTCCTCTCTCTCTAACCTTCTTTCCTTTCCCTTCCTTTCCTTTTCCTCCCTTTCCTTCCTTCCCTCCCTCCCACTCCTTTCTTCCTTCCTTCCTTCCTTTTCATCCTTCCTTTCTCCCTTCTCTTTCCTTCCTTCCTCCCTTTCCTTCTTTCTTTCCTTTCTTCCTTCCCTTTCCTTCTTTTCTTCCCCTCTCCTTCCTTCCTTCTATAATTCCTTTCCCTTCCTTTCTTTTCCCTGCCCTTCCTTCCTTCCCTTCCTCTACCATCTCTTTCATTCCACTCCTTTCCCTTTCTTTCCATCCTTCTTTCCGTCCGTCCTTCTTTCCGTCCTTCTCGCCTTCCTTCCCCTTTCCGTGTATGTGTTTTGTGTGTGTATATGCATATATGTGTGTGTATATATGTGGTTTTGCACATACGTGGTAATGTATTGGGGGGGTTGGCTTTTAAGTCCCTTCTGCTGTGTTTTTCAGTGTTTTTATGAGTGATGGTCACTTGTTGGCCTGAGAGGTGTATTGTGTCCAAATTGTTTTTGTTATTGCTTTTGTTTATGATGTACTGCGGGCTAGGCCTCATGTAAGCCGCACCTAGTCCCTTGGGGAGATGCTAGTGGGGTATAAATAAAGTATTATTATTATTATTGAAGTCAAACTAGACTTTAGGGGGGTCAGCTCCAAGGAGAGATGACCCTTAGTTCGCACCAAAGAGGGAACGCTACCTTGGCAAGCCTTCAGAGAAGCCTGATTCCAGCAATTTTATTAATATTAAAAATTGAAATGAGACTCTTGCCAAAGCGAAGAAGGGGCATCAAGGTTTAATGAGCGATTCAGCTGAGACGGATGCAATGTGGTGATAGATAGCACACAAAGCATGCCAGTACATTGATCAGAGGCATATTTATAGCAAAATACAGGTTTGAAAGTTTCAAAACTCCCTCCCTCTTCCCTCCAATGGGAGAACTTTCCCTGCTTCAGCACCTTGAGAGAGGCGGGATGAAAACAGAAACAATGAGCCGGCAAATGAATCAATGGATGCGATGCCCAGTCTATTGTCCTTGAGTGGAGTTGCAATGATCCTTGATTACTTTCATCCTGGACTTCCTGCCACAATCAGATAAGGCACAAAAGGGGAGGCTGGGGAAATGTCCAGTTTTGAATGAAGTAAACAAAATTGGGAATGTGGCCCCCTGAAGGGCGTCTCGCTCCTATTGTGAAATGGCCAAAAGTCTGCAGAAGGAAATCCCCAGCCCAATGGCCTTAATCCTGGAGCCTCATAGAGTTTCCAGGTTTCATTGTCCTCGCCAGAGTTCTGGGATATGAGTTTCTTTTGTTGCCTCTGATTGCCCCTTCAACAGCTGGCCACATCCTGGATTGATTTACTCAAAGAGAGGGGGAAGGAGTGATAGGCAAGAAGAAGGAGAATACATGGAGGTATACAGAAATCCACAGAAATTTATATCAAATATCTCCTTCCCCATCCCACCCTGCCAAAGAAATTTAATAAAGAAATTATTTTCAAGCAATATGAGTCCATAGTTCATTTTGAGGGAAGTTCATGAGCGGGAAAGATGTCCTTGTGAGCCCCAAAAGGAAACTCTGTTGATTTCCCACTGAGCCATTGGGTGGAATTCTACCACGCTGGGATCGAAGCTGGTCCTTGGGAAACTGCAACTCTCATGAAGGGCAGAAGTCCCAAGATCCAGCCGTTCCCCAAAAGTCTCATGGGGTCCTTGTTGTTGTTAGTGCCTTGGCAATGTGACCAAGACTGAACCCCTACATTCCCCAAAAGTCTCATGGGGTCCTTGTTGTTGTTAGTGCCTTGGCAATGTGACCAAGACTTAACCCCCTACTGTGCAGTCTGGTGCCCTTGCCCTTTGCAGAACTATAAGTCACTATCCCTTATTTTTTTTTGGGGGGGGGGTGCTCAACATTATTATTATTATTATTATTATTATTATTATTATTATTATTATTATTATTATTTGCTCGGCTGAGGGAACATGCTTCTCAGATCTTCCAGCCCTAAAACAAACCAGGGGAGAAGCTTGGGGAGGTTGAATTCAGTGATTAATGCCTTGGCAAAAGGGAGAGAAAGCACAAGATGTTTCCAAAGCGATGCTCACGAAATCAATGTCCGGGCTTCTCTGTCTCACCTTTGCGTTTTTCGGTGCTGAAAATCCAGATGTGTCTCACTGATAAGCCTTCACCTGACTTTCCAGGGTGAGTCAAGAGGCAAAAGGCTCTCCCCTGAGTCAGGGATATACAATAATCAGGCAAGGGGTTACCAGAAATCCTCTGTGAGCAAACCAGAAGCTCTTTCATCAGGTGGCGTCACGAGGCCGTGCCGTGCCTCATGGGTTGCTCTGCTTCAAGGTGTCAAACCTCAGCTCCTTTGTGTAAAAAACCCTTCAGTTGTGGTTGTGCACCTTTTGGGTGCCATTAGCCTTGACTCGGCTGGCACTTTGGCTTCCCACCCTTGAGGCTGTCGATTGGTAAGAAGGGTGCCCTCCAAGCCAAAGACGCAGTTCAGATACTGTAGTGTTTCTCAACCTGGGGGTCGCGACCTCTGAGTGGGTCGCAAAGGGGTGTCAGAGGGGTCGCCAAGACCATCAGAAAACACAGCATTTTCTGATGGTCATGGGGATTCCATGTGGGAAGTTTGAGCCAATTCTATCGTTGGTGGAGTTCAGAATGTTCTTTGATTGTAGTGAACTATAAATTCCAGCAACTACAACTCCCCAAAGTCAAGGTCTATTTTCCCCAAGCTCCACCAGTGTTCAGATTTGGGCATATTGAGTATTCGTGCCAAGTTTGGTCCAGATCCACCATTGCGTGAGTCCACAGTGCTCTCTGGATATAGGTGAACTACAACTCCCAAACTCAAGGTCAATACCCACCAAACCCTTCCAGTGTTTTCCGTTAGTCATGGGAGTTCTGTGTGGCAAATTAGATTCAATCCATCGCTGGTGGAGTTCAGAACGCTCTTAGATTATAGCTGAACTATAAATCCCAGCAACTACAACTCCCAAATGACAAAATCAATCCTCCCCCAACCCCACTAGCATTTACATGTGGTTGCATTGGGTATTTGTGCCCAGTTTGGTCCAGTGAATGAAAATGCATCCTGCATATCAGACATTTACATTATGATTTATAATAGTAGCAAAATTTCAGTTATGAAGTAGCAACGAAAACAATATTATGGTTGGGGGTCACCACAACATGGGGGACTGTATTAAGGGGTCATGGCATTAGGAAGGTTGAGAACCACTGATATACTGTGATCAGGGCCACCTTTGAAGACCTTTGGAGAACTTCTACTTACCCCAGTGTTTCTCAGCCTTCCTAATGCCGCGACCCCTTAATGCAGTTCCTCATGTTATGGTGACCCCGAATCATAACATTATTTTAGTTGTGAATCGTAAAATGTAAATATCCGATGTGGAGGATGTACTTCATTCACTGGGCCAAATTTGACATAAATACCCAAATTTAAATACTGGTGGGGTTGGGAGGGGTTGACTTTGTCATTTGAGAGTTGTAGTTGCTGGGAGTTGTAGTTCACATACAATCAAAGAGCATTCTGAATGCTACCAACAATGGAATTGAACTAAACTTGGCACAAAGAACTCCCACGACCAACAGAAAATACTGGAAGGGGGTTGATGGTAATTGACCTTGAGTTTTGGAGTTGTAGTTCACCTACATCCAGACAGCACTGTAAACTCAAACAGTTATGAATCTGGACCAAATTTGGCACGAATGCTCAATATGCCCAAATGTGAACACTGGTGGAGTTTGGAGGAAATAGATCTTGACATTTGGGAGTCGTAGTTGCTTGAATTTATAGTTCACCTACAATCAAGAGCATTCTGAATGCTACCAACAATGGAATTGAACTAAACTTGGCACAAAGAACTCCCATGACCAACAGAAAATACTGGAAAGAGTTTGATGGGCATTGACCTTGAGTTTTGGAGTTGTAGTTCACCTACATCCAGTCAGTACTGTGAACTCAAACAGTTATGAATCTGGACCAAATTTGGCACGAATACTCAATATGCCCAAATGTGAACACTGGTGGAGTTTGGGGGAAATAGACCTTGATATTTGGGAGTTGTAGTTGCTTGAATTTGTACAATCTACAATCAAAGAGCATTCTGAACCCCACCAAGGATGGACTCGACCCAAACTTGGCACACAGAACTCCCTTGACCAACAGAAAATACTGGAAAGGTTTCAATCTTGCTGCATCACACTCTTGTTCAATTTGTTGTCTACTAGGACTCCAAACCAGTGTTTCTCAATTGGGGGGTTGGGACCCCGGAGGGGGGGGGAGCAGGGGTTGGAAAGGGGTTTCAGAGGTGTCGCCAAAGACTATCAGGAAATATTCAATATGCCCAAATGTGAACATTGCTGGAGTTTGGGGAAAATAGACCTTGATATTTGGGAGCGGTAGTTGCTGGGATTTATAGTTCACCTACAATCAGCGAGCACTCTGAACCCAGGACACAATGGATGTGCACCAAACTTGGCACACTACCAACATTGAATACTGGTGGGGTGCGACGGGCTGCTTTGAATTCTGATGAGCTGTAGTTCACTAATACCTATTGTGGTTGTTATTGCTTGTATTGATATATTGTGGGCTCGGCCTCATGTAAGCCGCATCGAGTCCCTTGGGAGATGGTAGCGGGGTATAAATAAAGGATTATTATTGTTATTATTGTTATTATTATTATTATTATTATTATTATTATTATTATTGACAAGTGGAGAGATTTTCAGCCTTCTCTGACAAAGAGATTCCTAAGACCATCAGAAATATGTCTTTGTGCCAAGTTAGGTCCAGATCCGTCATTGTTTGAGTTCACAGTGTCCTCTGGAGGTAGGTGAACTACAACTCCAAAACTCAAGGTCAATGCCCACCAAACCCTTCTTGGATCTTCTGTTGGTCATGGGAGTTCTGTGTGCCAAATTTGGTTCAGTTCCATTGTTGGTGGAGTTCAGAATGCTCTTTGATTGTATGTCTCAATCCCAGCAACTACAACTCCCAAATGACAAAATCAATCCTCCCCCAACCCCACCAGTATTCGAATTTGGACAGTTAGGGCATTTGCACCACATTTGGTCTAGTGAATAAAAATACATCCTACATATCAGATATTTACATGATGATTGATAACAGTAGCAAAATTCCAGTTATGAAGTAGCAACGAAAATAATTTCATGGTTGGGGTCACCACAACATGGGGAACTGTATTAAGGGGTCGCGGCATTAGGAAGGTTGAGAAACGCAGCTCCAAACTAACATAATGGTGCTTGTATTGTCGAAGGCTTTCATGGCCGGAATCACTGGGTCGTTGTAGGGTTTTCGGGCTGTATGGCCATGGTTTAGAGCAGGGGTCCTCAAACTTTTTAAACCGGGGGGCCAGTTGTCCCTCAGACCATTGGAGGGCTGGACTATAGTTTTTTTAAAAAAAAATCAATAAAAAAATTCCTATGCACATTGCACCTATCTTATTTTGCTGTGTGGAAGGGCCCTTAGAGGGAGGGGGTTCTTTCTAGCCCTCTTTAGGCAGTAATTCCAGGAGCAGAGAATGGGAAATCTTCCTATTTCTAGTCTGAACAAAATCTGGCTACCAGTATTAAAAAAAAAAACTCTAAAATTATAACTGTAAATAAAGAACAACACTCAAACACAGGGGAACTCCAGACAAGAAACAATCAGGGCCAGCTAATCACCTCTCCCTAAAAACTGTCAGGCTATGAAATGGTAATCAAGGTGGCCAATTGAAACATTCATAACCTACCTCCAACAGACAAGAGTTCTTTCTCCCACCCTGGATCTTCCACAATTTTCCTAGTTAAAGGTTTTCCTCTGACATGAAGTCCAGTCGTGTCTGACTCTGGGGTGTGGTGCTCATCTGCATTTCTAAGTCGAAGAGCCGGCGTTGTCCGTAGACACCCCCAAGGTCATGTGGCTGGCATGACTGCATGGAGCGCCGGGGCAGCCTCCCTTGGCTGGCTCACGCTGCCCATCGGGCGCGATGGGCAGCGTGAGCCTGCCAAGGGAGGAGCAGCCCCGCGTGGCCTACTCGCGCATAAAGCACCTTGTGAGGTGCTTTACGCGCGAGTAGGCCATGCGGAGCAGCTGCCCTTGGCTGGCTCACGCTGCCCATTGGGTGCGATGGGCAGCGTGAGCCAGCCGAGGGAGGGGCATGTGGGGGGGGGTGCTCCTCCTCCGCGGGCCGGATAAGTGCCCTTGGTGGGCCGGAAGTGGCCCGCGGGACGTAGTTTGGGGACCCCTGGTCTAGAGGCATTCTCTCCTGATGATTTGCCTGCATCTATGGCAAGCATCCTCACTACCTCTGAGGATGCTTGCCATAGATGCAGGCGAAACGTCAGGAGATAATGCCTCTAGACCACGGCCATATAGCCTGAAAAACCCTACAACAACCCATAATGGTGCTTGTTTGTTCCAAAAACTGTTTCTAATGGGGAATTACTGTCTTGGATTTCTTTCCTTCTCAGTTTTACCGATGTTTCACTGTCCTCATGAACTGTGACCCGCTTCCGAAGCACCTGGAGATGACTTTGCATTCAAAATGGAGCCGAAATCCCAACATAGAGAGCCGGGAGGTCCCCGTTCGCTTGATAGGCATACAGAGAAGACTAGGGAGCACCAAAGTGAGGCCGAATCCTTCGGGAAGAAGCCCAAAAGACTTGCCATTTGCAACAGCTAGCACTTCGCCAAAGACCCTTTCAGTGTCTTCCTCCAAGAACGAACGACCGCCTCACCATTCTGCAAACCAAATCCTCAAAAGTTGACAGACTGAAATGGGAACCATCTTTCGAATGTATGTGACAAAGACACAAATGCATTTGGATAGAGAGCCGCTTATTGACATTGAGACGGCATTTCCTTGGAGGCAGGAAAGTGTGGTGCTTTTATGGCAGCCGTCTTCCAGTTTAACCATCATGGATTCTTGAAATGGCAGGGAGAAGGTTTCAGGAAAAGAGACAAAGAGAGGTCCGGAGGTCTCAAAAGCATGGATTTTATTTTCAGTTGGGGCCCTGGATTGTGTTGCAATCCAGAGCAGGAAATAAGGCCCTAAGATAACTATCCACCACACTTGACTGTGAAAAACAATCCTTTTTAATTGAAGAAAAATGGTTACAAAATAAAGGAAAAATGCAAAGTCAAAAGCCACAGCAAAAATCAGCCAACATGAATTTCCCTGAACAAGATCAAAACCCAAAGCCACACTGTAAAATACTGGAACCTGTTAGTAATCCACTAACCGTACTTGATGTCCTAGGAATCTTTCAAGACGATGGCCAGGGAAACCGGGAGAACTACTAAAGTCTTCATCAATCTAAAACGATGCCTGAACTGAGAAAGTCAGCCCGGCGGGAGGCACTTAAAGCCGAGGAATTGGTTTCATGAAACGCCTCCCCGCTTTGAAGCCGGTGTTTGTATTTCTTTTAATCTGGAAGACCTTCGCAAGCTGAGTGATTTACTTCTGTCCTGCCAGATCTGGCCCCTTCTATTCTCATTAAGGTTCCCAGGTGCAGAAGGGAGTGAAAGGTCATGGCTTCCCTCTGAAACATTCTCATGAACACTGGTAATTTCATTTTCCAAATCTACAGAAGTTTCTTCCTCACTAATTTCAGGAGCATTGACATCAAGAAGTACATTTTCATTAGCATCAGGAAGTACATTTTCATTAGCATCAGTAAATATATTTTCATTAGCATCAGGAGGAACAAACAGAGAATCAGGTTCAAGTTCAAACTCAGTCTGAACCCCAACAGAGTGGACTTGCATCCAAAAGCAAACCAGAGCAGTGATAGAGGCGTTTGACTGTGCCGTTATACCTTTCAGATTCAAGGAAACAAAGAACATGCTTCTACATACATTAACGTCACTCACTGCATCACCTTAGCATCATAAGAATATCAAATTCTACCTTCCAACATGCAAAAGGCATATGTATGTGTATTTCTTTCTAGCAGCGTCTTACATTCATCAATTAAGGGGCCCACTTTGATCTATCATTAGGGAGAGGGGCGCTCCTTCCCTAGAAGGAAGACACTGGGCTTTTTGTACCAGCCTCTGTGGCTTATCTCTCTCTTGGAATGTATAGATAACATGCCTCCCTCTTCAGCCCCCCTCTTGCTGTGCCTGGACGCAGCTTGCTTGTCCTGTTAGCATTCTTATACAGAGAGAACTTGATTTTTCTTTACATTTCAGTGCTTGTAAAGTACATACAATTTATAAATCAATAAATCAATATCTATTTTTCCAATATCTCCTCATCAACCTGTTTCCCCTGTAGAAAGAACAAGATTCTCTGGATCATAATTTCCATTCCTGTGTCAAAATAAATGGAGAAACATGTGGCCAAGCAATATCAGAGGGGAAAGTTATGAATGAATAAAAATATATGGACTTGGAGATGCTGCCGTGGTTTGCTTTTGCCTGAGCCGACTGGGAAGGACACCGTTTGCCGTTTGCCTTTGCCATTTGGACTCCGTTTGTGGCTACCGGAGCAAGACAAAAATGAAGGAGGAAAACAATAAGGAGAAACAAAGCAGATTATCATTGATCGTGTCAGAAGCAAATTGAGAATACAATTATAATGTATAGAAAAACCACAAACAAGGTTTATTTATTTATTTATCGTGTCAGGCAATCGGACAGTTGTATTACATTTTTGACAGAACAAATAAACAAACATACAAAAGACACAGAGTTTGCAAGCTTGGTAGTTGGTTAAATGTCCTTTGACCAGTATCTGGCCACTTGGAGTGCTTCTGGTGTTGCTGCAAGAAGGTCCTCCATTGTGCATGTGGCAGGGCTCAGGTTGCATTGCAGCAGGTGGTCAGTGGTTTGCTCCTCTCCACACTCGCATGTCGTGGATTCCACTTTGTGGCCCCATTTCTGAAGGTTGGCTCTGCATCTCGTGGTGCCAAAGCGCAGTCTGTTCAGCGCCTTCCAAGTCGCCCAGTCTTCTGTGTGCCCAGGGGGGAGTCTCTCATCTGCTATCACCCACGGATTGAGGTGCTGGGTTTGGGGCTGCCACTTTTGGACTCTCGCTTGCTGAGGTGTTCCAGCGAGTGTCTCTGTAGATTTAAGAAAACTATGTATTGATTTAAGTCGTTGACGTGCTGTCTGATACCCAAACAGGGGGTGAGCTGGAGATGTCTCTGCCTTGGTCCTTTCACTATTGGCTGCTACTTCCCGGCGGATGTCAGGTGGTGCAATACCGGCTAAACAGTGTAATTTCTCCAGTGGTGTAGGGCGCAGACACCCCGTGATAATGCGGAATGTCTCATTAAGAGCCACATCCACTGTTTTAGCGTGGTGAGATGTGTTCCACACTGGGCATGCATACTCAGCAGCAGAGTAGCATAACGCAAGGGCAGATGTCTTCACTGTGTCTGGTTGTGATCCCCAGGTTGTGCCAGTCAGCTTTCGTATGATGTTGTTTCTAGCGCCCACTTTTTGCTTGATGTTCAGGCAGTGCTTCTTGTAGGTCAGAGCACGGTCCAAAGTGACTCCCAGGTATTTGTGTGTGTTATTAGCCTTGACAATGAGAGCTTTCTTTGTGTGCCTTCAAGTTATTTCTGACTTGCCCAAGCACAGCAATACTACAATCTGCAGAAAACACCCAAAATGTTGTCTCATCCAGAGAAGCCCCATGAGGGATCCAAACCATATTTGCACTGCAGACTTATCATGGTTAAGGTGGTTATCCAACATCTTTATTAATGACTTAGATGAAGGGTTAGAAGGCAGGATCATCAAGTTTGCAGATGACACCAAATTGGGAGGGATAGCCAATACTCCAGAGGACAGGAGCAGGATTCAAAACGATCTTGACAGATTAGAGAGATGATGGGCCAAAACTAACAAAATGAAGTTCAACAGTGACAAATGCAAGATACTCCACTTTGGCAGGAAAAAACGAAATGCAAAGATACAGAATGGGGGAGGCCTGGCTCGAGAGCAGTACGTGTGAAAAAGATCTTGGAGTCCTCGTGGACAACAAGTTAAACATGAGCCAACAATGTGATGTGGCGGCAAAAAAAGCCAATGGCATTTTGGCCTGCATCAATAGGGCATAGTGTCTAGATCTAGGGAAGTAATGCTACCCCTCTATTCTGCTTTGGTTAGACCACACCTGGAATATTGTGTCCAATTCTGGGCACCACAATTCAAGAGAGATATTGACAAGCTGGAATGTGTCCAGAGGAGAGCGACTAAAATGATAAAATGTCTGGAGAACAAGCCCTATGAGGAGTGACTTGAGGAGCTGGGCATGATTAGCCTGAAGAAGAGAAGGCTGAGAGGAGATATGATAGCCATGTATAAATATGTGAGAGGAAGCCACAGGGAGGAGGGAGCAAGCTTGTTTTCTGCTTCCCTGGAGACTAGGACGCGGAACAATGGCTTCAAACTGCAAGAGAGGAGATTCCATCTGAACATGAGGAAGAACTTCCTGACTGTGAGAGCCGTTCAGCAGTGGAACTCTCTGCCCCGGAGTGTGGTGGAGGCTCCTTCTTTGGAGGCTTTGAAGCAGAGGGTGGATGACCATCTGTCAGGGGTGATGTGAATGCAATATTCCTGCTTCTTGGCAGAATGGGGTTGGACTGGATGGCCCATGAGGTCTCTTCCAACTCTATGATTCTATGATTCTAAGGTGGTATGAAACGGTCACTTGAAGTCTTGCCGCATGCTCCGGGTTGGGGAGGGACAAAACCAATGCCACTTCCGACGCAACGCGTTTGAGCTCGCTTTTCCGTGGGCGGCAAAGCCTCCGTGGGATCAGCAACTCTGGCTTGAAGTAGCCAACCAAACAAAGTAAAGAAGAGTAAGTTTGCCTCTACCCAACAACCACATCCTTTGCTCAGCCTTCACTCTCCTGCGAGCGGCACAGAAACCTACAAAACATTGTCATAAACACATGGGATGCTGATCAGTATTTCCATAGAAGTATTTCCATAGAAGTCCACGGGTCCCGAGCGTATCGATTTTCACAATCTGCTTATCAGCAGGAAAAAGCAAAAACAAAATCCCACAATTAGGTCAAGTGAGCATCCGAGTTGACAAGTCCTATTCATTTCCAAAGTAAAGTTGTGAGGATGCACTGATTTCCCCAAATGGAGGGTGCTGGTGTGGGTCATAAGGAGTTTTATGGTCGTTTGGATAAAGGATTGGGGTCTTTGCCTGGCATCTGGTTAGGAACATGCACGCATGCAAGTGTGGTTGATATGGGCATGTATCCTTTTCCAGATGGGGAACAGGGGCACCTCCTTTTGCTTTCTTCTCTTCATCTGCAAAGGTCCCATGGGCACTTTAAAGCCTGCCATTGCTTATCAATGGAGATGGAAACATGGGACCCAGTTCAGCTGGTCTGGGCTTCAAAGGGAAGAGAAACAAGAGTTGGATGAATCATAGAATCAAAGAGTTGGAAGAGACCTCATGGGCCATCCAGTCCAACCCCCTGCCAAGAAGAAGGAATATTGCATTCTAATCACCCCTGACAGATGGCCATCCAGCCTCTGTATAAAAGCTTCCAAAGAAGGAACCTCTACCACACTCCGGGGCAGAGAGTTCCACTGCTGAACGGCTCTCACAGTCAGGAAGTTCTTCCTCAAGTTCAGATGGAATCTCCTCTCTTGTAGTTTGAAGCCATTGTTCCGTGTCCTAATTGATAACATTAAAACAATGCAACATAGAAAGTTCAGTATACAGTGAACTCTCAAGCAAGTGGCAAAAAAGCACATGAAGTTGGACAAGGTAAGGCTGAACTCAGCGGATGGAGTTGCCAGGACAGGCTGCAAGAGAACCACATTTTCATGGGTGGGCACCATCTTTGGCTTACCATCCAAGGACAAAAGGAGATCTTTAGAGGTCCTAGAATCATAGAATCAAAGAGTTGGAAGAGACCTCATGGGCCATCCAGTCCAACCCCCTGCCAAGAAGCAGGAATATTGCATTCAAATCACCCCTGACAGATGGCCATCCAGCCTCCGGTTAAAAGCTTCCAAAGAAGGAGCCACCACCACACCAGCAGAGAGTTCCACTGCTGAACGGCTCTCACAGTCAGGAAGTTCTTCCTTAAGTTCAGATGGAATCTCCTTTTTTGAAGTTTGAAGCCATTGTTCCACGTCCTAGTCTCCAGGGAAGCAGAAAACAAGCTTGCTCCCTCCTCCCTGTGGCTTCCTCTCACATATTTATACATGGCTATCATATCTCCTCTCAGCCTTCTCTTCTTCAGGCTAAACATGCCCAGCTCCTTAAGCCGCTCCTCATAGGGCTTGTTCTCCAGACCCTTGATCATTTTAGTCACCCTCCTCTGGACACATTCCAGCTTGTCAACATCTCTCTTCTTCAACTGTGGTGCCCAGAATTGGACACAATATTCCAGGTGTGGTCTAACCAAAGCGGAATAGAGGGGTAGCATTACTTCCCTAGATCTAGACACTATGCTCCCATTGATGCAAGCCAAAATCCCATTGACTTTTTTTGCTTTGCATTGTTGGCTCATGTTTGACTTGCTTTCCACAAGGACTCCAAGATCTTTTTCACACGTACTGCTCTCGAGCCAGGCATTGTCCCTCATTCTGTATCTTTGCATTTCGTTTTTCCTGCCAAAGTGGAGTATCTTGCATTTGTTCCTGTTGAACTTCATCTCTCTAATCTGTCAAGATCATTTTGAAACCTGCTCCTGTCCTCTGGAGTATTGGCTCTCCCTCCCAATTTGGTGTCATCTGCAAACTTGATGATCATGCCTTCTAACCCAGCTGCTAGGAATTGTGGGAGTTGAAGTCAAAAACACCTGGAGGGCCAAAATTTGCCCATTCCTGATCTACACCCTAGAAAGAATCCAGTTTGACACCACTTTGCCTGCTGAGAGGAGACATGATAGCTATGGATAAATATGTGAGAGGAAGCCACAGGGAGGAGCGAGCAAGCATGTTTTCTGCTTCCTTGGAGACTAGGACACGAAACAATGGCTTCAAACTACAAGAGAGGAGATTCCATCTGAACATGAGAAAGAACTTCCTGACTGTGAGAGCCATTCAGCAGTGGAACTCTCTGCCCCGGAGTGTGGTGGAGGCTCCTGCTTTGGAGGCTTTGAAACAGAGGCTGGACGGCCATCTGTCAGGGGTGATTTGAATGGGTTTATATATCTATTCCGCTTTGGTTAGACCACACCTGGAATATTGTGTCCAATTCTGGGCACCACAATTGAAGAGAGAT